GTTATTATTCACTTCTTATTTTCGGACCGCTTCGTTATGGTACTCACCATGGCCAAGCCATCATCAAGTACGTCAGCAACTCCAAGTCAAAATTGACGCGGTGTCATCTACTGCGCACGTGTCAGGGGGAGACACAATCACACCTCGACCGCTACGCTCTCCACGATGACGGACTGTAGCCTTTGAGCTGTAAACTTACCTGCGTGTCGAGCGTCAGTGCATTGCAGTCTGCCAGTGTCCGGTGCCCCCATCTACGAGCCACCGTCCACTGCCAGTGTCTGCAAAGACACATCCCAAGGACACTCATGCGCCTGGCAGTGCAGCTTGCGGCTGCACTACAACCGGCTACACTGAGTACACATGCGTGCAATAACGAAGGACTATACCAAGGACTGTATGCACAAGGACATCGTTGGCTGTGCGCTGCCAAGATGGTGTACTCAAACGAGAGTGCATTTATCTAGAGTTTAGTATTGACTTATTTGCTATTTGTATACTAATCTATTTTTGCGGTACAGCGGTGTCCTGGCGGAGGCTGCTCCACACTTTGCATTTTGACGCCTGCCGCTCACCAGAGAGCAGCAGAGAAGAGCAGCCTCGCCAGACACCGCAGTCCTGTCGCGGCCTTTTGCCCGGCACTTACGTGTTTACGTTACTTCCTGATTAGTTTCCTAAAGTTGACATTTAAGTGTATTTACATTTAAATGGCTCCTACTATTAGAAGCGATCGACACATGGAGAACAATCCCCCCGTGACGAACCCTACGTCACCACTGGTTATGAACCCAATCAGGGCGCAGTCTGCGACTGACGTGGCTGCTGGCGTTCCAGACACAAGTTCTGGAATTTCGACCAATCAAGATCAAGCTTCAACCCCATTGGCAGGAAATTCAAGGTCGAACAATGACGCAACACTGTCGCACAGTGATGCAGAACGGCTAATTCGTTCATTGGCTGGAATCCCGGGTGGCCGCCCGTTATTCCAAATGTTACTCGAAAGTATGCATAAACTTTCGTCGACGAACACGGAAGAATCCGTGCCAGTTGACAATCCTCCCCAGTCGCCGCTAAACCAACAAAACGGCGACCGAGACCCTGACGATCCGTGGCGCCCTCTAGACAACATGAACCCTACTGGCCGCTACAACGACGGCGAGCTGGCTGAGTACACCAAGGTCCTCATCAACTCGCCTCCGATTAAGCTGCCCAAGCTCCATCTGAAGGGCGACTACAAAGCCTGGAAGAGCGAGGTGCCGTTGCACTTCGAGCCGAAGATGCTGGGAGACATCACCTATGGCCCTGAGCGTTACGATGCAGTAGAAGGCATGCGTCGTGACAAATATCGCGTGTGGTACAAGTCGCGCAAGAACAAGGCATTCTCAGCACTCGCGTTGTCGCTGTCTGTTGACCTACGTACGACGTTCAAAATCGACGACATCCACGACATCATGGACGCCGCCGCTATGCTCTACGATGCGATTACGCAGCACTTTGAGGCTGGAGATGGTATTAATCCTGATTACCTACTGCAAGAGCTAGTGACGCGCCGGCTCAAGCCAAACGAGTCAGTATCGCAGTATGCTGACGACATTGCAAAGAAGGTGACACTTCTACATCAAGCTAATGGTGAGTTTGCTGAGTGGCAACATGCAAGCCTACTACTATCGAACAGCGTGGAAGCGTTTAAAGATCTCGCCCGTGAACACGGCGATTGGCTTAACAACCATGATCGTAAGACACTTACACTTGCTGAAGCCTTACAACGACTACGCGCTGCTGAACACCAGCGTGACCAGCTGCGTGCACAGACCAGACAACCGGTCGCGCACTCAATGCAAATTGCTCATGTCGGAACGGACCAAGGACAAGGTCAAGCCCGAGGACGCAAGCGCAACAAGCAACAGCGCAAGCGATCCAAGGGCGTTGCAGATAAGAAGCAGCGCACAAACTGCGCGAACTGTCAAGGAGAAGGACATTGGTATGCCGAGTGTACGGCTCTCACTGGCCAGCAACTGAAGCCAGAGCTCGCGAGAAAGCTGCAAGAGAGACAACCAAGGGCTCCCGTGTCGCTGGTGAATCCGTACGTCGTGTGGATGCGGTAGCGTCGGAAGAAGATGGCCAAGGACTGTTTGCTGGCCTATCACTATGCGATGCGAATGCGATTGACCTTACGGATGGTGCTGCCCTATCGCCTACGGCTACGCAATCACCTGCATGGTCACTAACGTCTCCTGCGGAAAGTGAAGAAGGAGGAGAGCGTCGTGTTGTTGAAGGGGTGCGGGCAAGTACGCAACGCACTCAATCGTCGGTTGCGCAAGCAACGCAGCGACTGCAGCTGCAAGTTGGAGTTCCTGTTCAACACATACAAGTTGGAGGACAAGGACTACAACAACGACAATCAACCTCACTGCCTACACTGCAAGCACCAGCTGTAGCTGTGCAAACTGCCATACAATCTGCGTTACAACCTGAAGTGCAACCTACCGGACAACCTGCTGTTCAACAGGGTGTACAAGCTACTGTACTGCAAAACATGCAACCTACTGTATCGAGTACTGCGCAGACTCAGTGGGAGGGCAATCGGTCTACAGCTGGATTGGTGCCTACGTGGGAATCAGTCATCTACTACTTGGGGCAAGGACTGTCGAGTAACTCGAAAGGGCCTACACTTGAGCCATGGCGCAATCAAGCTGAACCACAAGGGGGTTCGGCTGTGCCGGGGGATAGCTGTCGAGGTCCTGATGTCGGGTTTAACAGACGCCAAGAATCAGGGATGCGCAATGATTGCAGACCTAACTTGGAGAGTGCGTACGAGAGAGGACTCTGGAGTCAAGATGTTGGACACTTTGACCCTCCTATTCAAGGACGAGGACGAAGTCGTTCACCACCCCGATTCTTCAATCGAGAACGAACTCCACCAAGAGGAAGAGGCCGTTCTCCGTCAATGCGAGGGTGTGAACCAAGAGGAAATCCAGGGCGTTATCGATCTCCACCGCGTCAGCAGCAGTGGCGTAACGAGAGACCGAGTCGCTATGAGCCGCCACCTCAACGTGATGATCGACTGAGTCGCTATGGACCGTCGTCTCCGCAGCAGCAGTGGCGTGACAATCCTTCGAGAGGACGAGGACCTTCACCTCGACGTGACAATTTCCAAGGGCGGAACATGTCTCCGCGTCGATTTGAAGACCGTCGTGAGAACAGACCAACCCAGCTCTCGTCAAGTCAACGCTGTGAACCAGAAACCAAGGTATGCAATCAGCTCAGTCTGAGTTTGTGGAGTGGATACTTGATTCAGGATCGCAGGCAAATGTCTGTGGTGACCTGTCATTGTTTACTACCATAAGGGGAAGACCAAGCTAGGTCGACTTGACTTTGCGAAGGGGACAACTGAACACGTTTCTGGTTGGGGCGCCTGTGGTATTGGGGGTTGTTAGCAGGGGAGGAGGGCAGCTCGAGGGCCAGGGCGCTGGACACCTGGGGTACACAGCCCGACCGAAAGGGGAACATACTGACGTGGGGGTACGAGGAGTGACGGGGCGATTTCAGTTTGGAAGGGCGAGAGAAGCGAAGGCGCGGGGCGAGCTATGCTAGCGAGCGCAAAGAGCTTAAGGTGAGGGA